GCCCGGAGCGCTGAACAGCAAAGCTCCTTTGTCGAGCAGCGATGCCTTCTGAGCGCTCTGTACATCGAGTGCTCCTATTCCTCCTGGTACGTTAATTGACGGGGTTGCAGGAGCGATGGATTTGTGCCTCATGGGCCCACCAAAGCACTGAAGAGGAACCCATTTGCATTCAACACTCCCGTGCTCCCTTGATAGACTGGGAGAGCCCCTCAGTGGCTTTATTGAAATGCCGAGTCAGGAGTCGATGGGGCTACGTTTCTGTTCCCTGAATTTTAATTGAAATCAATGCCTAAGTGCTATCAGGACCGATTATCAAGCTTATTTCTCCCTACTTAAGTTTGTCAGTTTAAGAAACACCAGCGGTGAACTGGTTGCCTTAAACTGTACACAAACTCTTTGGCGGCCATTTTGTGAAAGGGGTCGATTTACCACTCCCTGTTTCTTTGCACTGAGCCTTTGGCTAGAGGTAGGCTTCCTCTGTGATTATAGAATTGCCCCTGGGGCAACGCGATGGGGGATCAGCACACATTAAGAGACACAGTACTATCTGGATGTGCTGCAGCTAACCGCTGGGAACTCAGGAGATGGATGCGCAGACTTTTCCTCCCAGTCGGTGCCCTGCTCCCGCTCGGCACCTCCCCAAAGGTCCCTCCCTTATAGCTGCCGCTCACTCCTTTTTGCCTCCCCATAGTGCCTCCCACCCGCTGCTTGCTGCCAGGCCCACCGAAAGGGGGAGGGCCTGGTGATTCAAAGGGGCCTGGAGTTCCCAGCTGCTGCTGCAGCTAGGGAGGAAACGGTGATTTCTGGAGCCCTGGGTCCTCTAAATCGTCGCCAGAATGCTACACTGCATGCTCCTGGAAGACCTGAGGGCGGGAGGGGGATGGGGAAGGAGGAGAGGGGCTCTGTGCTCTGGGTGGCACTGTGCACAAACTCTTTGGTGGCCATTTTGTGCTATTTGGCGCCCCCTTCTGGAAGCATGGAACAGGATCCCCCTAGACATCTTGCCCATGGTCCCACATAGGCTGTTGGTTCCCCTGCTTGCTGCTCAGCTGGCCACCCAGAGGCCTGACAAACAGCTTTAGCAGCCGGCCCTCAGCCTGGAACTACTGTGGCTGGTGGGTGCTGAGCACCCCCTGTTTTGTTTCTGTGGGTGCTCAAACCCTGGGGCACCTGTGGAGATGGTGCCTATGGTAGATGGGGAAGGGGTCAGGAGGCAAACTCATGGCATGAGAATGTCTGTAAGGCGAGATGTTCCGAGCCCAGTTCTCTGCCGGTGTCATTCCAGTGGGGTCAGTGGAACTTCTCCCATTTATACCAGCTGATGACCTGTCCTCCAGAGCGCCAGACTAGAGCTGAGCAAACACGGCAAGTCAGCTGCCTCCCTTGGCAAGAGGGAATGACTCTTGGCTGGCAAGCCAAAGGATTAAGCTGGGGAATCTCCGGATTTAAACTCATGAGCCAATGGACAAGGCCGGGGGAGCAGGGGGGCGTAACAATGCAAACCCTTTGTGGGCTGGCACAGAGAGGGACTATTCCCATGACACAGCAAGCGGCAGCCCATTCCAGTGCATCTCAGAGCCTGGGTTGATAGACTCAGGATTGTACCACAGCTCTAAAAACAGCTGGGTAGTCGTTCAGACTTGGGCTAGCTCTCTGGCTTGGAACTAGCTTAATGGTTACGCAGCTATTTTTAGCACAGTCCCGTGACCCTCGACACGGCTCACTGCCTTGACCCACCCTTACCCACGCAGCAGAGGGTTGCATGAAGAAATACCAGAGCCCTTGACTGGACTATTGGCATCTGCTTGCATTCGGGACTCGGTGGCTGTGGACATGGAAGGTAACTTGACAGTGAAGAAATGTGTCTGAAAATATTATTAACACTAGGTTCAGAGACGATACTGCCGCCGCACTGCTGACCTCCCACATTTTCTTCTGGCTAATTAAATGTAGTAGGACGATCGCACCGGGAGATAGATTTCATTCCTCTTAATATTACTGTGAGTGGAGAGGGCAGTGTGGCCACGGCGCTGCTGTCCTGCCCATGTGCCCTTTCCTATAGCTGACCTGAAGAGATAACCTCCAGGGATAGAAATAGCCCGCAGGATCCATCGCTCATCCAGTTCTATGGCCAATTAGCACTAGAGGCAAGGCTGAGCGATGTGAGCTAGGAGCTCCGACCTCATTTCACATAAGCCACCAAACCACCTTTCAGTGAGGATGACTTTCAGCCGCTGCCAGTTCTGGCTGGGCTCAGATCAGCAGCTTTGGGCCTGAGCTAGTCCATGACTTGCTATTCATTCTCTAGTGTCCCCGCATTTTGCACCAGATCCTGACCTGGTGTCAACTGGAAGATGCCTAATGAAATCCTGGGCTCTGCCCTCATTTACACCAGCTGAAGATCTAAGCCTTTGTGATGGACAAGAGTCTCATTTACACCAAGCAGGCTGAAGAAAGGAACCTTAAAGTGGTTGCAAATTAAACTCGGTCTAAGACCCCCTCTCCCCAGCCAGCCTCCGTGAACCTGCAGATGAAAGGTGTTCAGGCATCAGCAATAGTAACTTCCACTTCTACACCAGGTTCAGTAGAGATAGAAATGACCTGCTTAATCATCTTGGAGGAACTGGGTAAGTCAATGAGACAATTGTGGATACGCATCTGGAAACAATCCCAGGTTTGTTTTCCTCATAGTCACTTGCAGAGTCTTAGTAGGCATGTGAACAGGCCCCTCACTTTAATTCTTCTTTTCTTTGGCACCTCTGATCAGGTCAGCACAGACCTTCTCGAGCGACTTTACATTGTGACGTGTCAAGAACATAAGAACACAAGAATGGCCACACTGGGTCAGACCAAGGGTCCATCTAGCCTAGTATCCTGTCTTCTGACAATGACCAATGCCAGGTGCCCCAGAGGGAGTCAACAGAATAGGGAATCATCACATGTTCCCTCACCTGTCATCCATTTCCAGACAAACAGAGGCCAGGGACACCATTCCTACCCATCCTGGCTAATAGCCATTGATGGACCTAACCTCCATGAATTTGTAACCCTTCTGCCAAGTAGTGTTGGCAGCAGCCAGGGCCGGATTCAATATCTAGAGGTTCCTTTGATCCATCTCACACAGAACCAGCTCAAGCCCCCACCCAGTAGCCTGGGAAATTCACACACCCCTGGGTGCCTCTGGGAGGCAATGCTTCCCCACTTGCAAGCACAGAGTCTGAGCAGAGAAAAGAAATTTTAATGAAAGAGAGAGAGAGGTCACATGGCATTAAATTAGGAAAATACCACAACCAGAGTTCATAAACAACCCATGAGTAACTGTCTCAGCTCAAAAGGATTGAGCAATGTCCTTTGCCTCTCATGCTCACTAGTTCAACAATGTAAGGGTTCCATTCAATTACCCAAACTTTCTTCATACCCCACTTCAAATGCCCCACTTACAGCTCTGTCCAGTCAGTGTGGACCCTGACACATCACTCTGATGACTCCACTTATTGAGCCTGAGGCCATGCCACCTTTGTGCTGTTCTTGCGGTCTGCTTGCTCCTGCCAGCCACCCTGCTGGCCGCCCACCACTTCTTCTACTGTCTCCCGCGCCCCCCCCCCAGCCGCCCCGGCCAGCCGCCCTGCTGGCTGCCTGCTGCTGCTCCTTCCAGCTGCCCTGCTGGTCACTCCCACCAGCTGGCCTGCTCAACCGCCCTGCTGGCCACCTGCCACTGCTCCTACCATCTGGCCACCGGTCGCAATGGGTCTGGTTCCAGGCCAAACCAGTTACTTCAGTTCTTAGTGATTTCAGCTCTTAGCCACCACATAGGCTGGCCAGAAGATTCCAGCTTCCACTGGAATAATAAAGAGACTCCTTATGGAGTCTGCTTTAGGTCTGTCCTTACAACAGGGGGGGAAAGGAGACAGGTTGAACCAGTCTTACAGCTCACACCTGGCAGGCATGAAGCTGGATGAATCAAGTCCCCCCACTTCCCGTCCACACACACACTCATCCCCTCAAATCTGGAAAGGGGATTTTTATTCATCTGAGACCCCGTACAATGATGGTGTCTCTCTGCAAGCACTGGTGTCATATTTTACAGGTCCTTCATTCAGCGGTAGCATGGTTTGTAACCCCACAGCAGCCAAATTAGTGACAATACACAACATTGCATTCCAACAATTCACCCTCCATCAGCCCTGGCTGAATTGGATTTACATAACCACACCCTGGATTCCTTCCCCATCGCAGCATGAGCTATATTTACATATCAACAGTTGATTATCATGCAGGGCTAAACAATTTGAGTGAGAATACCCATCCCCAGGGCTGCTCTCTCCTTCAGCTGGCTGCATTGCAAGCAGTCCTTCAGTCCCTGCTTACACATTTATCTAGTTCTGTCTTGAACCCTGGTAAAGTCCTGGTCTTCACAACATCCTCTGGAAGGTCATTCTAATTTGGTGAATTGCTACTTCCTGTTCCACAGGGGCTTTGCCATGATCTTTAAACGTCATAGCTGCACAGGTACCTCCTGACTGACTTATTCCCTGGGGCGGGTGGTGCCCAGTGAATAGCGGTGAGTCAGGAGTGGGGTGCAGGGCTCCTGTTCTCGTTTCTTTTCACTGACACTAGGCAGGGGAGTAATAGTAGAACCATAGAGCCACATGCTTGGAAGAGAACTGCAACAGTTGTTTAGTCTAAGCCAGGATGCTGGATTTGTTGTGTCTAAGCCACCCAAGATAGATGGCTAGCCGGTCTTCTTCTACAACTGCTCTCAACATCTATTCTGTTGCCCTGCTATTCTTACAGATAGGGGGGCTTTCCTTGAGATGTAATTTATATCTTCTGTACTGTAAGTTTGAACCCACTGCCTCTTGACCTCTCCTCTGGGGCAGGAGAGAGCAACTTTGCTTCCTTTTTTTATGGCAGTCTTTCAAGTATCTGAAAACTACTATCATGCCCAGAAGTGCTGATGCCAAACCAGTTGTTCTCTCCTTTGTATTTGCGCATTTGGTTTTTTATTCAATATGTGTAACACCCTTTGTGGACAGGGTGAAAACTCGATTTTAAATAAGTTGACTCCAGCTATGTAATTAACGTAGCTGGAGTTGTGTATCCTCAAGTTGTTGTGTATCTTCATCTTCTGGAGTTGCGTATCTGGAGTAAGCCGACCTTCCCCTTTAGTGTAGACCGGACCTTAGAGAAATTAATTCAAATTAACTAAAAGTATGAATTGAAAATGGATTGCCAAGGCTATAACAGGCTTTAAAAAGGGATAAATAAATTCCTGGAAGATAGGTCCATAGACGGCTATTAGCCAGGATGGGCAGGAATGGTGTCCCAGAAGCTGGAAATGGGCAACAGGGGAAGGATCACATGATGATTCTCTGTTCTGTTCATTCCCTCTGGGGGCAACAGGCATTGGCCACAGTTGGAAGACAGGACATTGGGCTAGACAGACCTTGGGTCTGACCCAGTATGGCCATTCTTATGGTCTTAAGTTCTTGTGTGTTTACTAGAGACTGAGCCTTTAACCATATTGTTAGGTTCTCAAGACTTACTTGGCCTCCAGGCTCACGAGTATTAGTTACCACGATATTATTTCCATAAATTCACTTAAGACATTGCGAAGATGATGATGACATGCCTGGGTGTTAGATCCTGCTTCATATTGACAGTATTCTCTGAAAAAGCATCCAAGGACAGTCTCTTACTATTCATGTGTAGAATGGCCACAATCTCTGTTACCTGTTAACTCATAGAGCTGAAGACCAGAAAGGATTCCTGAATTATCTAGTCTGATTCCCAGGTCACTAAACACCATCCGGCACCCATCCATTCAACCCAGCAAACAAAATCAGACCACAGTGTTACAGCCCACAGGCAACTAGACTAGCATGTGCCACAGGCACAGACTAGTGGAGGAGCACCAGTACCCAAGATTCATGCAATGGCAGGAAATAATTGGGTGGGGTATACCCGGATAATCCGGACGAATGACCCACACTCACATACAGCAGAGGAAGGTGAAAGACCTTCAGGATCACTGTCAATATGACCTGAAGGGAAATATTTCCCTAACCCTACATATCATAGAATCATAGAATCATAAAACTGGAAGAGACCTCAGAAGGTCATCAAGTCCAGCCCCCTGCTCTAGGCAGGACCAATTCCAACTAAATCAACCCGAGACTTAAACACCTCTAGGGATGGAGACTCCACTACTTCCCTAGGCAACCCATTCCAGTGCTTCACCACCCTCCTAGTGAAATAGTTTTTCCTAATATCCAACCTGGACCTCTGGCGATCAGTTAGACCTTGAACATGTAAGCGAGAACCTAGCACCAAGCACCTGAAAGAAAGAATTCTCAGTAACACCTCAATGCACCAGTTCACCCAGTCTAATGTTCCAGCTGACCAATAATAAAATGCCAAATATTGAGGGCTGCTACCCTAATTTAAGGTCTCCATAAAGGAAAAACAATATCCACCCCGCAACTAGCTAAATCTCTTCCCCATAAAAACTGGCTGTTTATTTTAAGAAAACATAATGGCTGTTGATTTCAGTGCCGTCTGCTATGTGTTCATGGGCGTATTTAGCAGCTAAAGAGAGTGTAAAAGTGACTGATCGCCCAAAATCAGGTGTGTGTGTGCATAAAAGTGACAGCTTGCAAGATGTATTGGGCCGGATAAATAGCTTTTATAATTGGCATTGTTTTTTTATTAAATGTTCAAGGCCGTGTATTTATGCTAAAATGAATTGTATGGAGGTTAAAACTTGTGTTTCACCATTTTATGCTTCAGTGTTATGTCTTCTGATGGCAATAGCCATGTACAATAAACTGTGATGGGTACTGTTATTCCTCCCAGGTGTCGTTTTCCCAGCATGGGAGGAGGAAGGACACTTGGAAGGAAAGACGAATATTCACAAGGTGTTTTGACCTTCCCTGTCGCATTTCTGATGGTGCCGGAAGAGAAGGGTTTAGGCAAAGGGAGTGGAGTGGGTGGGTCAGAATAAAAACAATTCTGCAGCGGGGAAAATCATCACGGCACAGAAGGCCGGCGCGTTAAGACACTCTGGTGCATTAGCTCTGGGCGAGCTGTTTGCCCTGTGTGGAGTTCCACACGAATGGGAGTTACTCCACCCCAGCGAAGGAAGAGCAGCACATATCTGGTCAGCGTTTTTTATGTTGACACCCCCTTGTTGAAGAATGGGGGCCGCATACAGCTTAGAGACAGAAAGAAGCCCTAGCCCGCACACAGGTTTAGCGGCTTTCGTTAGTGGTGTGTGGGGGTTGTGTGGGTGTGTTTTTCATTTTAACGGAAATAACTACATGACACAAGTCCGCATTTGGATGCAATTCCATGGGTCAGGCCTGCTGATGGCAAACAGGGCAGTTGCCTCAGGGCCCAGCAATTCCAAGAAGCCCGGGGCACAGCTCTGAAGACTAGGGGGGGCAGTGTTGTGGTCTGGGCAGTGCTGAGGGCAGGCTGTCACCAACCTAGCTCCTTCCACCCGAGGATCCATCCCTTTTGGGAGCAGGGAGCCACCCCCCACCACACCTTGCCTGGGGCCCCGTGGAAGATGTCAGCCCCCTGCCACTGGTGTAAAGGTGCCGTGTGCTGGCATAGTTGTTCTCCCAAATGTATGGGAATAAAGCTATGTCTAGATATATATTTTAGAAATGTGCCTCTCTGTCCATCCATTGGTTCAAGAAGTCCCAAACAGTAGCAGCTAGGACCATCAAATTTGCTATACAGCTTCCTTTTATCATCACTGAAAGCAAGGCCAGGGTGTGGTTGTGCCAGGACAATGGGATGTGCATGGAATCTGATTGTTTTCCAGCACGTGGAAAGGAAGAGGGTTGTTTGGAGGGACAGCTATAATGCAGAATTAACATGGGGAGGGAGGAGGCGGTGAGCCATCCCAGCAAGACCGTGGCCAGCTGGGACCAGGGATCATCTTCTTGCCAGCCAAATAAGTGACCCTCCTGTCCCAAACTCCCCCCCCCCCTTGGCTGAATTTCCGGATGGGGGAAGGGAGCTCCGCCAGCCCCCAGCCCTACTGCTACAGTGGGTCCAGCCCCGGGCTGTTCAGTGCAGTCCTGCCTTCCCAGGAGACACTGGAGAGATGGAAATCACAGCTCAGCCCTGCCTCTCCAGAGGAGATCCTGGGGTGGGGGGGCAGAACCGTGGCCTAGCCCAACCCTCAGGATATGACAGGGGACTGGAAACCACTGCCTGTCCTGTCCCCCCTACATGAGGATCCACTGTGTGTGGGGGGGGGGAGGCAGCTTAGCCCTGCCCTCAGAGGCGCTGCTGGAGGGAGGGGCAGGCTGGCCATCTGGAGGGCAATATCTCTAGAGTCAGACCAAACTTTTTTAGGGAGCCCATTGTACCTTTTTTTAAATTAGAGATTGTGTCTTCTGTGTCCATGTGGGCATGTCTTACCATCAGCACTCAGTGACTAAAAAGAACAATCACCTCTTCATTGTGATGCTGCCGAGGCACTGATTTTGGTGATTTCATATTGAACGTGTGGAGTGATGGCTTAGCCCAGCATTGTGAGTTCATTTTTATTTTTAAACGTGTAATTACCTAAGAGGAGCCTCTAGTTATTTTACATCACAATGACCATAAGGCATGGGTATGGCAAAGAGCCAGAGTAAACATCCATAACACAGAGCATATAAGGAGTGACTTTAGGACCACCTTGGGGGAATGTGTACTGTCTTATCCATCTTGTCTCTTCGCTTGCTGAAATGTGTGTGCCAGGCAGGGCTGTTCTTGTGTAAAGACAGTCACAGTGTGACTCAGGTTTCATTTTCACTAGTTTCACATAGGGATCAGTGCACTGAATTCAGCAGAGTTACAAGTGATTTGCACAGTATAAAAGAGGACCCGAATCAGGCCTTTAGTACATAACATTAGTAGGTTTGAAAGGCCCATACGCTGGACAGGAAAAGGAGCTGAGGACTAAAAGCCGCTCTCATTTGTTGCCTGTTGTGACGGGACACCCCCCACCCCATGCTTTATGAAGTGGACTTATGGACACAAATATACATAACTCAAAGATGCTTTGGACAAATTGCTTCATATAACCTATCAATCTTAATGGGTTACTCCACTGGATCTGCTTATCTTATCTTGGGCTGTGTCTAGACTACATGCCTCTGTCGTCAGAGGCATGTAGATTAGACACATAGGCAAAGGCAAATGAAGCCGCGATTTAAATGATCGCGGCTTCATTTAAATTTACATGGCTGCTCGTTATTGTACAGGCAACCCCTGCATTTATGACCTAATTGGTTCCTGGAGAACCGTCGTAAGTCGAGCTGTCATAAGTCGAACCCTTGTTTCCCATAGGCACAATGTTATAAATGGCATACCCTAAAAATACCAAAATTGACTACAGAAATGGAGGAAAACTAAACAAAATAGTTCAAATAATGCACAAAAATAACATTACAAAATAACATCTCAAAGCACATTACAAAAGGACAAGTGTCTATGTATCACTGTCCCCAGTATAAAGATATGGTAAAATGAAACACTGGGGCTATGTCTAGAGTACACCTCTCTGTCGACAGAGAGATGTAGATTAGGCACGTTGAAATCTCTAACGAAGCAGGGATTTAAATATCCCGCGCTTCATTAGCATAAACATGGCCGCCATTTTTTTTTCCACGTGGAGCTTTTTCGAAAAAAACCCGGCAGTCTAGACAGGGATCTGTCAAAAAATAACCCCTTTTTCCTCAAAAAATTAGGTTTACAGGATCTGTCGAAAAAGGGTTTATTTTTCGACAGATTCCCATCTAGACTGCCATTGTTTTGGTTTTTTTCAAAAAGCTGCATGTCGAGAAAAAACGATGGCCATGTTTATGCTAGTGAAGCATGGGATATTTAAATCCCTGCTTCATTAGCAATTTGACGTGCCTAATCTACATCTCTCTGTCGACACAGATGTGTAGTCTAGACACAACCAGGAAGATCAGGGCCAATGTTTTCAGGCAAGCAGTGACTAGAATTAGATACCTAAACCCGCACTTAACCAACATCTACATTACAGAAAGTAAACTGAAGGTTCACAACTATAGGTACGTGAAAAAGTTGAGTTACTGTAGGGTTTATACCTTGGGGGGTCGACAGGAGAAACTCTCCTCTGGATTTCCCTTACATTTCTCATCTGGGATACTGTAACAGGGTCGACAAGAGCATAATCTGCAGTCAGTTTGGCAGGTCTTCACTAGACCATCTAAATCGATTGCTGGTGGATGGATCTCAAAGTACCGATCCCTGTGATATTGTAGATGTAGCTTTAGACAGCTCATCTGGGATTGAAGCCTTATGGGATTGTTTTGATCTTTTATTTTGACATCCCCGATGCAAGCCAGGGAATGTGTGTCACCAAGCAGCTCCTACACTGGGCCCAACACACTGGGGTTGAACTAAACTCAGAGCTTCTCCTTTTAGTCAGACGTCAGATCTTGATGGAAGACTCCACCACATTCCTTGGCAATTTGCTCTGTTGGTGACTTTCTCACACAGTTAAAACATGTACAGAGACACCCAGGGGAGTTGACAAGCTTCTGCAAGTCCCTGGATATGGTGATGGAGGGCTGGCTCCGCATTCTGGAAGAGGCGGGGCCTAGGGCGGAGGGGGGGGGGTCAGGGCAGCCAGCTCTCCATGCCGCCTGTAGCGTTGCGTACCACAGCCCTTACAGCCACCTGGAGCACGTGATACAAAGGGCCTAGAGCGCCAGCTGCCGTCACTGCCATACTAGCAAAGGTGGCTGAGACCTGAGGCCCCTTTGAAATGCCGGGCTCCAAGTTAACTGCCTCTGTGTCCCCCTCTCCCCCGTCAGCAAGTCTGGGGATACCTACGTGGTGTTCCACCCTCACCAGTATTGACCCAGGATATTACGTCCTGTTCTCAAGTCATTCCTAAGTAGCTGGGCTCCGGGCTGCAAAGACTGGGCTTGCAACGCATGACAGGTTTGGGGGGGTTGTGTTTGTTTTTCCTAGGGATGATCAATTCCAAGACACCCTCTCCTTTGCTTCAGCAATTAGTTGCTGCCTCATGGTAAACAAGCAACTAATTGGGAACACCGCCCGCCCCTCCCCACCCCCCGAAGCAGGCAATACCGTACAGTCACAGAAGATTCACAGCAATCTGCATGAGGCCTTTTCTGCCTCCAACCAGCCTCTTCCCCATAACACATTCCCAATGCGTTAGACCATGACAGGAAAGCATCCAGCTCCAAGCTATAGGGGGCTTTTATCCCTTGCCCGTCACTTGTGGTTCTGAGGTGAGCTAGCAATAAATAAATAAAATAGCAACCTGTCAGCAGCCCCTGTCATGTGCCATTCCCAGTGTGGGATGGGGGGAAGTTATAGGTAAGTGGAAGATGTGTCCTTTGGTATCTGACTTATAACTAAGACAGGATGATGGTATTTTTCTTAGGCGTCAGACAAGCCTACGGTGACAATCCAGCACTTAAGCTAAATACAGACAAGGCAACCACCCACGAAGAAAAAGTAAATAATAATAAAAAAACCCAACTGTGGTTTTGAATGGCTGGAGCTTTTAAAGGATGCTTTGATGGCAAATTTCTGTCTCACAACGGATGCAGCTGGCCAAATCCCTGAGTGAGCATGGCTGACAAGTTTCATTTGCAAAAGCAAAGAGCCAGCGGGGGAAAAACATAAATGTAAAAGTTCTAAGAGCTGTGGATAAATGTACGTAGGTGGAACATGAATCTTGCTTCGGCTACAGTTCCTGGAAGAAATCAAGATGTATTTTTTATGTAAGCTTTCCCCTTCCTGGCCCGCCCCAGGAAGTGAGTTTTTGAGGGAGGCTATGCCACAGAAGTTAGAATGAGTTATTTGCTCCTACAAGCTGGCGTGAAGGTATATTGCCTGCCGATTCAAGCAAAGGATTTAGCAGCCTGAAAAGTAATCCGGGCCGTCCTCGGAGATTACAAATGCTGTCAAGGCTGTTGACCACTCTGGCACTTTGAGTGCGGAAGGTGAGGAGCCACAAGAATCTTTAAAATACTTTGCCACTAAAGCAGGGTGAGTAAAATACGGCCCACGGGCCAGATCCCACCCACCACCATCCAGTTTCCCAGAGGGAGCCTCGGGCAGGCTCCCTGCCTGGCAAGCCCCCTCATCCTCTCATGCCGCTGAAACCAGATTCAAAGGCCGGGAGACTTCTTGAAGGGTCTTGTTGGACTGCCGGCCAGGAGCTGCCTAATAGCCTGAACCTGACCAGAGCCTCCAGGCCAGAGCTTGCACCTGGCACCACAGGCCTCCCCACCCCCAACTCCCTGCCCCAGAACACTACCCAATCCTTCTGCACAGCCTCCTGACTCCTATCCCAGGTCACAATCCCTGACAGACTCTGCACCCCCCCACACACAAACCCTTCTTCTTACTGGTCAGAATCTTCTCCTGCCTCCTTATCTCCTCCCAGATGCTCCTGGACACCAATTACCAGCCCCAGATCACAATGCCCTCCTAGACCCTGCACACCTTCCTACACCCATACTCATATCCCCACCTGGCCCTGCCCTAGGGCACAATCCGCTCCATCACCCAAGCTCCATCCCAGACCCCACACCCCCTCCTACATTCCAATCCCTTACCATGAGCACCCATCTGTACCTAACCTCCATCCCAAACCCCGCACATCCCCCATCAATATAATGGAAGTGTATGGCCCTGGACCACTCACCAATTTCTTGGAGTGGACCCCATCAAAAATTATTGACCATCCCTGCCCTAAAGGCATGTGCTAATCTCCCCAAGCCCACCGATTCCCTGGTCTTGGATTGGTATCCCTGCCAGCACCCAAGTGCAAAAAGCCTTTGAGAACCTAGGAAGGTGAACTTGGGAATTCCTTCCCGTTAGTTACTTTAAAGCTCTTTGAACCCTGCTTCTACAGAGAGCTTGAAGACCCAACGGCTGAGATCAGCTGAAAATAGCACTTTAGTTTCTTTTGCTAGCTCAGCTGTGCAGCCTTAAGCTATGTCTAGCCTGCAGGCTTCTTTCGGAAGAAACTTTCCTGGAAGAGATCTTCTGAAAAAACTTCTTCCAAAAGAGAAAGTCTACACAGCAAAAGTGCATCGAAAAAGCGCTCTGCTTTTTCTAAAGATAGCGTCCACACTGAATGGATGCTATCTCGCATTTAAGCAGTGATTACAATGGACGGAGTGGCCACCAGAACACCTGTGCTTCTATCTCTTTCCTCTTCTTTCAAAAGAACTCCGTCTTCCCTGTCCACACACGACTTTTTCCAAAAGAGCTCTTTTAGAAAAAGGCTTCTTCCTCATAGAAAGAGGTTTACCAATGTCAGGAAAACCTCTCTCTTCTTTCAAATTTTTTTTCAAAAGAATGCAGTTGCAATGTGGATGTAAGTGAAGTTTTTTCAGAAAAATGGCCATTTTTCCAA